ATGATCGAAAAAAAAACGGCGTCAGCGATGGCTATGAAATGAAGATCGCTGTCATTTGATATGTAAAATTATATGGGGAATGTCATCGATCGTCATTTCCAAACCAATCGGACGCCGTTTTTTTTCGATCGTAGGGTATAATTTAACACATTAAGAGTTGTCCATCGTTATATTTCTATATCTATGCAAAGTTTACGATGGATAAATCAAGTAATATTATGTGGATACAAATTATAAATGAATCAGTGAATATAAACTGTTATAAATTATAAGTAGGTAATGCAGTCAGTGAATATACCGTACGATAGAAAAAAAAAGGCATGGGAGTGGGCTTGGAAATGAAGATCGCTGTCGTTTAATAGGTATGTAAAAACTCCCAGGATCCCGGCGGCGCACAGTGCTTCGAACATATGGCTCTAGAGGACAAAAATCCAAAACTTCTCTTTTATTGTAAGCAATTTATTCAAACTAGGTTTATTTGACACAAATGATGAGTACTCTCATTGTACTAAATGATGATGTTCTTAGTCCCACGTTTATGAAAAAAATCTTATAAATAATAATAATGTTGGAGCTGTGTTCCATCTAAGCAAATAATAAGTTATAGTATGAAAACGGTGTAAGTATTAAATAAATTCCTGTGATAAAAAAGAATTGAAATAACACTAGAACATGATTCCTACAATATAAGCCTAATATAAGATAAAAATGTTTTTCTTTAATGAAAAAGAAACATTAATGTTATATTTAATTAAAAAAAAAAAACTTAAGATACTATAAATTTACTTTAGGACAACAAAATGCATAGATCGTAACTACTCTGATTCAGGAGAATCACTGCTGACAGAATCTTCCAAATTTATAGTATCCAAATCACAGGTAGATGAAGTATCCTCATATATAAGATATTTCTGTACATCATTTTCTAATATGTTACTTTTTCGCGTTGTTACTGTTCATTTTGTCGGTATGAGGGGTTCGGATGTTAATAGTTACCTCTTTAATAGACCATATCCATATATTATTTTTTCCTTTTCTTGGGTATGAGATGTTATAATAAATTGAAAGATGGATACTTTTTTTATGCGACGTTCCGCTCCAACATAGTGGACTTTTTCAGGCACAAGTGGTGTCTCATTTGACTGGAAGGTTTATCAATATCTAATAAGAACATATTTTTTGAAATACAAATAATTTTGAGTTCTTGTCCTTATGATCAAGCCAAGTATTAGCCAGATTCGGCATTGCTTATCAATTTTACTCCATCTGAAAAGTATTATAAAATAAAGTTCGTCGCAAGCAGACGCAGGTGAACTATACAGAAATTAAAAGTGTATGAATATGGCAACAAAAATATTCAATAAATACGATATGTTTTGATATGTTTTTTTTAAATGCCTTTTTGAAGTTTGAAAACGTAAAATTTTTATACCCATTTAAGAATCATCTTAAAAAATAAATAAAAACTAAACAATCACGAACTTGTTTAGAAATAAATTTAAAGTACATACCTTGTTTAACAATAGCCATAGTGGCTTTCAATTAAGTACGTACATGTTTAACTCCATAATATATGTACGTATTATACATAACTACTATGAATGTTATTCTTTTCACTGATGAGGTAATGATCGCAAAATTTATTTTTAGTGAAAATATTTGCTAACAAAAACGCTGTTTATGAAAAATAATATACAGGATGGTTGAGCATTGCTATAAGTATAAAATTATATATTCAGATATTAGTAAATTTTAACTTATTTTTTGATTTTTGTCCATGGGACGAAGCACTGTGCGGCGTGTATGTTTATCTCCGAAATCCCGATATTAAATTCCGGGATCCCGAAAATCCCATAAAATTTAAATGTCCAATCTAAAATGATTCGACTTTATACACCTTTCAAAGATCAACAAAACAAAGTAAAATTCATATTTAGTAAGTAAAAAAATGCAGTTTCAGACAATAGTTTGGTTTGGTTTGGTCGAGTTTTGTTAACACTGTCTAGTCTGGGCTTTTTTATTTGATATATGTTAATCAAATAAAAAAGCCCAGAATAGATAAAATCAGGAGCTAACTAATAGAATCATATCAATTCTCTCTGATGTAGGATAAGTTTCTATTTTCGGAAAATTTCTTAGATTTTTTTTTGTTTCAACTGACGAACTGACACAAAATGATAACTAGTTGCTAAAGTTGAACTAATTTGACAGCTATGTTGAAGTAACGTCAGACATATCACAGCCACCCTAGATTTTATCAAATAATACAGATCTATTCACACTAAATCATAGAAATGAAAATATCTAGGAAAATCTTTGTTTGAGGGGTAGGCCGGCAACCTTAATAGTATTTGGAAGTGACATGAATTTCCCATTGAATATCGGAATAATATTCTGGGTGATTCAATTAAACTAAAGGAGTTATATAGGGTGGGTATTAAAGGAGTTATACAGGTTATACCAATGTTCAGCATTAATTTTGCCCTACCCTGTATAACTTTATGGGTCAGGTTTTAATTTGATTTAAAGTGCAATAGAGTAAATTCCAATTTAGGTATTTTTCTTGAAATTTAAAAATTGTTCTTCAAAATCTTAAGTAAGTCTAAAACCTTACATTTCAGTCATATACTTCCCTAATAAAATACACCTTTATTTTTCTCTTAGAATCTAAAAATTAATTAATAAAGGGGGTATTCCGTTACAAAAACGGTTCACCCCGTTAGAGGCCGAATTTCCAAAAATTGTTCCTGAGTGCCAAATTACGTTACATAAGGAACGTCTGCGCAAAATTTCATACTTCCAAAACCGATTTTAATGAATTTTTGTACAAATTTTCATCCCTTAATTCTTATGGGGCGAATGCCTAAAATTCGCTTCTGAGTACTCACTTTCATCACTTGAGGAACCTCTGTGCAAATTTTCATACTTCTAGGACAGATTTTTTTCAGAAAGTTCACCCCTCATTTCACCCCCTTAGAGGGAAAATTTCGAAAAATTGCTTCTTAGTGCTAAATTACCTTATATAAGGAACGTCTGCGAACAATTTTATACTTCTAAAACCGATTTTAACAAATTTTTGTACATATTTTCATCCCTTATTTCTTAAGGGATGAATGCCCAAAATTCGCTTCTGAGTATAACTTTCATCACTTGATGAACCTCTGTGCAAATTTTCATACTTCTAGGACAGATTTTTTTTCAGAACGTTCACCCTTCATTTCACCCCCTTAGAGGGAAAATTTCCTAAAATTGCCTCTTAGTGCTAAATTAAGTTACATAAGGAACGTCTACGCAGAATTTCATACTTCTAAAACCGATTTTGACAAATTTTTATACCAATTTTCATCCCTTATTTCTTAGGGGATGAATGTCCAAAATTCGTTTCTGAGTACTCACTTTCGTCACTTAATTAACAATTTCCAAATTTCAAACTCCTCGGACTAATTTTAAAAAAGTATACAAAATTTCACCCCCAGTTTCACCCCTTAGTAGAAGAATTTCCTAAAATCGCTTTGTATAATCGAACTGTTAAGTTACGCTACTTAAGGCACCTCTGTGCAAAATTTCGTAGTCCTAGGACATGCTTTTTTTTGTATACAAAAGTACCCCCCATATCACCCCCTTAACGAGCGAATTTCCAAAAATTGCCCCTTAGTGTTCAATTACGTCAGTCAAGGAGCACTCGTGAAAAATTTCATACTCTTAAACCAGATTTTAACAAATTTTTATGCAGCTTTTCATCCCTAATTTCACCCCCTTAGCGGTCGAATTTTCAAAAAATCCCTTCTTAGTGCTCATTTACATCACTTAAGGAACCTATGTGCCAAATTTTATTTATTACTATATAGATAACCTTTACCCTTATTTTCAGCTAATGAATATTAAGAGACAAATAATAAAAATAAAATCTAAATTATAAATTTCATGGCTATAAATAGCATATATGGTATGCATCTAGAAATTGTGACTTTCAAACATCCACTGCGACTAGTATTTTCATATCCAATTGTCTAGTATTAAAGTCCGAATATACATTTTCCCTGGGTTTGACCGGGAATTTGCTTATAAATGTGAACAACCGGCTACGTCGCTTCACATCGCGTGGCCGTGGTGTGGCTCCAAATTCGTTCGTTTTAAAAATATTATTAGATTTGGCTATAGGCGCCCTCTGTGTCATTAATAGGGAACTGTCTCATCGAAAACATGCTGTTCCGTAAGCAATGGCCATCTGGATTATGTGTTATCTGTGATAATACCCTAAAATGAAAAAAAAAAAATGCCTACTATTTGATTTATTTTTATTGTATTATTAAATATAACGTCCGCCTATGACGGGGTCTCATCTTAGAAAACGCTAAAGACGCTACAGGAAACAAACTGATTTGTTTTTATTTGCGTTTTTTGCGAGATACGCCGAACGCTACACGCTTTTGGTGTGGCCACTCCTATATAATCCTGTTATTTTGTTTTAGTCGCTAAAGACGCTCCACGCTAAAAACGCGAAAAACGCTTTCTGTCTGGCCGTGGGCTAGATAAAGTGGCATTCTAGATTTGAATATGATTGAGTTTCTTCTATAAATACTCCATGCTACCTTAATTATTCTGTTGATTTATGGTAGTAGGCATTCCGAGCTGTGACTTATCATATGAAGTGTTCAAGGGAAAAACAAGATAAGCGACATTATGCTAATTTTACAGGAGTGTTCCGTTAGGTGTGAATGTGTGAATGTTATCAGGTTCCTTCCGTGTATTCTATATTTTTACTAGGCATATTCCATAGGATTTAGCAACTTATTGCCCTGCAGAGTTAATACATTTTGTAGGGACCAGTTAGACCTATTATAATATTGTAAAATCCTAAAATTAAGAAATTGGCGCTATTCAAGTTTTTTCCCTAGACCCTACATATGTAATAACATATAAAAAATAGGTTTCAACAGTACCTTTCTGCTGACAGAAATTTTATGATTAAAAATTACTTATAAATAAAATCAACTTACTAAATTATTATGTGACATTTCATAGCCATCTGGTTTACATTCATGAGATCTGACTACGAAGGACAGTCTATTCTCTTCCAAAAATTTCTTGGTGACGTCAGGCCCGAAATATGTTCCAGCACCTCGTAGAGTGTTCGGTATACATCCCTTTGTATCTTGAGGGTCAGACCATAATATGTCAAATACCTGTTAGAAACAACAAAACAATGAAATATATTCAATATAGCTAGAAGTAAACTGACAAAATTTTAAGTAGGTATATAGGTTTAAAAAATATACAGGGTTGTTCACCACATACGACACGGAGTATTGTAGCTAAACGATGAGATTTTTACAAATTGTAAGTTTGGGGTTCGTTGAAGGTCTATTAGAGCTACAATTTAAAAATATTTTTACAAGATACAGAGTGTCCCAAATAAATAAAAAATATCAAAGTTGTATTTTTTTAAATGGAACACCCTGTATATTATTACATTTTTAGTTTCTGCGATTAAAATAAAGGTAAATTTGATTAAGGTTTATTATACTTAAACCTTACCGTTTTTAAAATATTTTCAATTTTGTGAAATTGCAGTAAAAATTTTAAAGCTTCATTTCTCCAAGGGTATCAATGTTTTTAATACTAAATATTTAATGAAGTTTATTTATTGATCAGTTATTGTGTTGCAATAATAAAAACTTTACTACCTTATACAGAGTGTCTAAAATTTATTTTAAATAATTATTAGCTTCAAACGGCAATAACTTCTTTAATTTAAATGGAATGCCCCGTATATTTTAGGAGAATCAGATGCACAATTAAATTGTCTATCAAATTGTATTATGCCATTTTTACCTATCCTTCAAGTTTTCGTAGAAAATGCATTTCCTTATAATTTAGACCTCATTTATCAATATATCCATGGAATATTGACATTTTAGATTGTTTTTAAAGCAACAAATGTACAAAATGTACAGACTAGTAATATTATCGTTTTTAGCAAAACGATAATATTACTAGCCCATTTGTATGCAAAAAGAAAACTATTTAAATCTTTATAAAAGAGTATACCATTAATTAAATATAACACCATTATTTCCGCCCATATATTAATTAATTACATACTTAATTGTGTTCGTTAATAAATTATTATAAATAAATGTGGATTTGAGTCAGAAATCAATACCGTATGATCGAAAAAAAACGGCGCCCAGTTGGCTGGGAAATGAACATCAATGACATTTCCCATATAAATTTACATATAAAATGACAGCGATCTTCATTCCATAGCCATCGCTGACGCCGTTTTTTCTCGATCATACGGTATAATAATAAGTTATCAAATTAAAGTCTCTGTTGTTATAAATACGCATTTATTAAAAAATGAAATATCATTTTTAAGGTGTTACTTTTTATCACACTGTCTAATGCCCATACAAAATTCAGTTTTTTAGTATTTGGAGCAATTATTATTAATCAACGCAAACAGTCAGTTAATGTAGTTTGAATACTGAAATCATATTAATTGGTCCTTTTAACAAATATTTAAACAGTTTTTTTATTTTTAATGAAATAAACGAATTATATCGACAATATTAGTATCTGTACTCTTTAAAAATTTGGTACATCTTTAAAAATAATCTAAAATGTCAATAGTCCATGGGTATATTGATAAATAAGTTCTAAATTACAAGAAAATGCATTTTCTACGGAAACTTAAAGAGATAGGTAAAAAATGGTATAATATAATTTGATAGACAATTAAATTGTGCATCTGATTCTCGTAAAATATACAGGGCGTTCCATTTAAATTAAACAAGTTATTGCCGTTTGAAGCTAATAATTATTTAAAATAAATTTTTAGACACTCTGTATAAGGTAGTATTATTTTTATTATTGCAGCATAATAACTGATCAGTAAATAAACTACAGTAAATATTTAGTATTAAAAACTTTGATACCCTTGGAGAAATGAAGCCTTAAAATTTTTACTGCAATTTCACAAAATTGAAAATATTTCAAAAACGGTAAGGTTTAAGTATAATAAATCGTAATCAAATTTACCTTTATTTTAATCGTAGAAACTAAAAATGTAATAATATACAGGGTGTTCCATTTAAAAAAATACAACTTTGATATTTTTTACTTATTTGGGACACTCTGTATCTTGTAAAATTATTTTTAAATTGTAGCTCTAATAGTCCTTCATCGAACCCAAAACTTACAATTTGTAAAAATCTCATCGTTTAGCTACAATACCCCGTGTCGTATGTGGTGAACAACCCTGTATATCTCGTCAAATTAAAGGAGGCCATTGTTAGGGTTTATTGTTGTCAGTATCCTTATTGATATCCACTAATAAAGACCTTAAAAGATTTAAGTTCTTTCTAAAATGACATAAATATTTTAAAATATTTAAGCCTTTTTTTAATGGCTTAAGTCTTTTTCTGTTTCGGAATAAAGAATTAAATCAGAAATCGTTTTGGAAATTATTTTAGTGTTAAGGTTTAAGTTTTGGAGTTTTTATTTTAAAAATTGTATTAATTACTCTTTTATCGGCCGCTTTTATATAGCCAAGGATGCGAGTGTGTTCAGTGAGAAGTTAATTTTTAAGTTTGTGCAATTATATTTCTATTTTTTTTTTCATTGGACTTTCTAAATACTCGTAAAAATTACTAGAAAGTGTTTGGCGTGATAGTTCTAGTATAAAGGTACAAGAATGATCTTTTCATAGGCAATTAAAGCTTTCAGTTGTTCTTTTATTTATATTAAACCACATGGCTTGCTTTCTGGTTAGATTTCCTAAGAATATTGATATTTGTACGGAGTGGCTATATGTATTTTTTATAAAATTTAATTTTTCTGACAGTAAACATTTAATTTAATGATCAAATATGTGCATTTTACAAATTAATTTTTTTAAATTAATGTTCAAATTTGGCTCGTGGACGATAGGTCCTCGACCAAGATAGATAAAGTAGAAGCACCGCGTTTGCAACACAAAAAAGAAGATAAATGGAAGTCGTTGATATGTTTGCAACAGTTTCCATAGTGATTTAGTTATTCACGTATATATGATATAGGGATATAACTAAAAAATGGAGTGCAGCAGACCACAGATGTAGTTATTGCAAAACTTCAACAGAAATAACAAAATACCTTCCTGAGTATGCAGTACTCTGTGAATTCTACTCTTTGAATAAGAAGACTAAGGAAGGAGCATAATGCTATCCATGTATTCATGCATGGTGGGCGGAAAAAGCACCATAAACGCACTCTAAGGATCCTTCACAGTTCTGTTTGACGATTCATTTGACACATTTGAATTTGATTTGAAATTTTGTGGATTTGTCAGTCTTTACGGAGCTTATTTTATGTTATTTATTATTTATTCTACTACTGATAGTTGTATAAAGGTAGTAAATCTAGATGGAAATTATGGCAGCACTTAAATTAACAGTGACACTATCGCGATTTATCGAAAAAGACTCTAAAATAGTTGGTTGTGTAGCGTGCGGTAGATCTCGGCAAAAATTGAGTGAAATAATGGAACAACTTTTCTCTAGTAAGTGACTATATTATACATACGTGTAGTAAACCGTAAAATCATTTATGAAATTCACTTAAATTAACTAAATTATATATTTTTCTTGCATTTTAGCTTTTATTTATTACTTGTCAAAGATTAGATGTCAAAGAATTTAGATACGTTAATTTGACTTACCTGCTTCAGTAGCGTATCGGATGTTTGTGGTAATAAATACTTATTATAACTTATCTATTTTTATTAGAATTGTATATTTTTATAACAAAACTACCAACATTTATTCACAACGTAAAATAAAACAACAAATTATTGAGTCTACCCCACGTCTACCCTACATCATAGTTTTACATTTTTTAAATAAAATTAGAACGACACTGATAAACCGGAATTTAAGTCGGCCATATTTGAGGCCCATCGCGGTTTACCTAAGATTTTTGATATGCTCCTTCCTTAGTCTTCTTATTCAAAGATTCTACTCCTAATCTTTTGTGGCAAAAACTTTAAAATAGACGCCTAAAAGATTATAAATTTAAACTAAATTTAATAAAATCTAAGAATTAAAAGAGAATTTTACTTTTCCTCTAGGGGAGAGCGGGTACAGTTGTAACAGTTTTTAGAAATTTATTTTTCAAAAATAGAATGAGAAATTTCGCGAAGTGTACATATTATCTTTAGATAGCCTAGACATTTATCATCAAAATGCACATAAGAAATCGAAGGTATATTCACCTATGTAGTCTTAAAAAAGGCAACAGTGGTGTGATGACATGTGTTACAATTGTACCCCGCGGTGGTACAGTTGTAACATAGAGGAGGGACAAATGTAACGTGTTTAGTATATTGATTTTTCATCTGAAGCAAATAAAATGTTAGCTCCTAGAATCTGACAAACGTTAAGATATGATTTGGATGCATTCAAATAATAATAATTGCTAGAAAATGAATGCCAACTTTTATTTACAATATGTGAAAAAACTGGTGCAGACAACAATCTTCAAAAGTTATACCTATTCTATAGAATTTTTTCTAAGAATAATTCTAACCTAGTCACAATCGTAGATTTTTCAAACAGCGTTCTAAAAAAAACTAATGCGCCTATAAAAAATACAATATTAAAAACAAGATAATTAAAAACTTTAAAAAAATATCAACTTGCGAATTTCCCTTTTTTCCAAAAATGCTTTTTCTTGTTCGGGGGATAAAATTCGAGTATGTGGATTGTAACCACTTTAGGAGTTTCACCAGCTTGTATTTTTTTTAAATAACGGAAAAGTGTTACATGACAGAGGTCCAAACTTCTAGCAACTTGTCGAAATCCAAGATTTTCGTTCACAACCAAACCCGCAGCTCTTTTTATAAGTTGTTTTGTAGGTCCCTTATCACTATTAATTATTTTTACTTAGGCATGTTAATTAAAAAAATGAGTACATCTAACGAAACAATGGGTAGGTATCATTGTAACATGTTACAAAAGTACCCTTTGCAATTGTTACAATTGTACCGAACTGACAACCCTGCACTTTTATTGAAATTAAAAAACTAGAGCAAAATTTACCTTAAACTGAACCATATCATGTTAAATATACATGCATAGGCTACAAAAGTATATACCTACATTTACTGTAAACTATCAGACATGATAGTTATTTAAAAACTGAT